AAACCTCAAATTGTAAGTTCTGCATTATTCCGGAGTTATGTTATATTATTGTTTTGGGAGCGTTCGCCTTTTCTTGTCTTAAAATTCTATCAACACATCAAAATCTTTGCCGATTTTATCTTGAAATAATTTAGGAGTTCACCTCATTAATATTCAGTACACATCAGCATGAACAATTCACGCATGCTCTGTTAATAAGCAAACTCGTCTCGGCTGTTAATTTGTGGCCACAAAATTTCTGATCGTGAGATACTCTTGTGGGAGATAGCTACCATCATCATTATTCAAACTATTATTTATATTAATGTGTCACATATTCAGGCAACATTTTTGACCGAACCTGGCTAGCTGGGACAATGAGGCGGTTAATCGATAAACCGGAAAAACGGATGTTTTTTTTTAAATCAATCAAATCGATGTTGTTCTACAGTTCTAGGCAAAAAACCGGTTAAAACTAAAAATTTTTTCAGACAGTTTTCGGTTTTTCGGTTTTTTTATTACCCTGGATTCCAGAGCCTTCGACAGTAAATAATAAATTGAAACGTCGCGAAGGCTTTGGTTCAACGGGGAGATTCTTTAATTAAACTTCGCCAACCACAAAACAGAATTAGTGGTTTTAGTACAGAATCTGTACTAAAACCACTAATTCTGTTTTGTGATTGGCGCGGTTTAATCAAAGAATCTCCCCGTTGAACCAGAGCCTTCGCGACGTTTCAATTTATTATTTACTGTCGAAGGCTCTGGAATCCAGGGTATTTGATGTACAGATATACATAAAATATAAGTATAAAATCCAATACAAGTACATGAAATCACAATGGGAAACAGTTTAGTAAAAGTTTATTGAGAACAATGGTATATATATATATATATATATATATATATATATATATATATATATATATATATATATATATATATATATATATATATATATATATATATATATATATATATATATATTTAATACGTGTGTACAAAACGGAAGAAAACTCGATGCATTTATACTTGACCTTCGCAACCTGAAAGCAAAGACCTGTGAATTTGAATCACTACAGGACAGCTTAGGGACCGGTCATTATTTATGGCGGGGGGTGGCACCGAAGAGAAATATTTTTCCTGGCAAACATTTTGCTGACCCAACCATTAAAAAGTAAAAAAAAATTATTACCCAACCTCAAATATCAATTAAAAAATAAATACCCACCCCTGGCCAAAAAATTTACAAAATGTACCATTCAGTTGTCACATATGTCCTTTACCACTTTTGTGACATAAGTTTGATAACGGATTGTGAAATTTTCTGCAGTCTAAAGTTTCATGTTGTCTGCACATGTACTTTCTTTGGAGATCCCATCGGAAATTGATCAAGATAGTGACTCTGATTGATTCACATATTGTATTGACATATGGCGGCCTACTCTGGGGTGGCCTACTGTCTGTTGCCATTGCTTTTTAGTCCCCAATACTTCAGTGAGTCATGCTTTGGAAATAATTTTTTATTACCCAACCCTTGAGTTGTTTTGTTTTTCATTTACCCAACCTTTTACTTACTCAAAATTTAGTTTACCCAACCCTTTTCTCTTCGGTGCCACCCCCCACCATAAATAATGACTGGTCCCTAAG